TAAAGGTTCGGTTTTTTTCCGGGCAAAGTTGAAGGCTCGTTTTTGTCTAGGGCTTTGTCCCTAAACCCTACAATGCCCTTGCCGGGCCCTAAACCCTAAACCCTAAACTACCCTGAACCCTAAACCCTAAACTACCCTGAACCCTAAACCCTAAACCCTAAACTACCCTGAACCCTAAACCCTAAACCCTAAATTACCCTGAACCCTAAACCCTAAGCCCTAAGTGGCTTCAGAACGCAAGTTTTGGGTCAGGTGCGGAGGCCCCGTAGAAACGGAGACTCGTGGACTGGTTTCTGTTAGTATCCAAGGCCTTGCTGCGTCAACTGAAGCTAAAGTTATGCGATGTTGTAAAATGATATGATACATTACGATACAATATATATATATATATATCATATGATATACTATCTACACTACAGCATAATACAATATGATGCATCATCTCATACTATACTCTATTATTAAATATTGCTGCATATTATATTATATTCTGTTATATTGTATTGTATTGACTTACAATACGTTGCGGTAAATTGCATTACACTCTAATCATATTTATATAACTATTGTAGATGGCTTAGGGCTGGGTGTGTGAGGGTTCCGGGGAGCTCCGTTAGGACAGTCTGAGGGTGTTACGCTTGATCGTCGGGCGTTCCGAGCAGCGAGCAGCTTGTTGCCATGAGGGGTTTCGACCGACCATCGGCGCAATTTTGCGGTGTAGGGTTTAGGCTGTCATATTTCCAGTCATGGCGGCCATAATTTGCACTATGATGCTATCCGGTTCCATCATTCCCATTGCTAGTAGTACTTAGTAGTGCTCAGATCCCCGTCATGAGATCAACAAGGCGCATCGTGAACGTCAGAGTTCCTTCTTTTGCCCTCGAGGTCAACGTGCGGATTTCCGGGTGAAACCACACTATACGCGCATGAACCTGGTTTGGGGTTTTAGGGTTTAGGGTTTAGGGTTTAGGGTTTAGGGTTTAGGGTTGTGGTACTGATGTGGTTGAAGTTTGAATCGTCTGAGTGCCCCTGGCTGGACCCGGCAGCCCAGCATAAATCCTAACCTGTCATCCTCGTGTAACCGGCTACAGATTGCTCGTGTGAATAGTATCTATCTGTCTGGAAAGATCTTGCTAGGCTGCTAGACACGCCCCTAAACAGGACGATGAATAAGACTGTCCTTCCAGCTGAACCGGCACGAGAAGTCAGAGAGCAGATACGAGCACGAGCTTTCAGAAACCCCCGATTTTTGTGTTCTAGCCAGGAGGAGACGCCCGTGCCGACCGCTGGTCCTAAGGACAAAGCAGGCTCTTTCGGCTGCAGATTAAAGAGCAGCATATCGGCAAAGACCCGTGTATAGCAGCTATAAGAAACCCGAAACCCTAAGCCCTAAAGCCCTAACCCTAAGCCCCTAAACCCCGCCTAAACTACATACTACATGCAGTCCCTTTGCAAACATGCCCGGAACTTCAGCTATGAACCCCGACCATCCTCAAGCCCTAAGACCTAAACCTTGAGAGCTCTAGAGCCCCCAACCCAAGCTTCGCTCGAAACCCCCGGCTATCACTAGGGGTTCCCATTTATGTGTTCTGTAAGATACCCTAAACCCTAAACCCCATTACCCAAGTCTGACTCTATAATATACAGGGGCCTTCATAATTAGAATAGGCTTTTGGGCCCCTTTATACTATAAGTATACTAAGGACCCCCCCCCCTCCAAAAAAAAAACATAGTATGTGTAATAATATTCCTACCCTAAACCCTAAACCCTATAAACCCTAAACCCTAAACCCCCTAGGCTCCTGCCCTAAGCCGCCCCATCATCAAAGCTCTCTGGGCCGAAGCGAAGGAAGCAAGAAAAAGAAGAAAGAGGCCCGACCCAGCGTCTCCACAGTCTCTCTTCCCTCTCTTGGGGTGTAGGATTTCGGGTTTAGGGTTTAGGGGTTTGGGGTTTAGGGTTTAGGATTTCGGGTTCAGGGTTTAGGGTTTAGGGTTCAGGGTTTAGGATTTACGGGTCAGGGTTTAGGGTTCAGGGTTTAGGATTTAGGGTTCAGGGTTTAGGCTTAGGGTCGTGGCACTATGGACAATCAGTTCGGATGCCTCAAACATGCCCTAGCCAAAATCCCAAACCTTCGGACTAATTCTATGTATGAAAGTACAAAGCAGGCGTGTAGATAAGCACAAGCTTCTAAACTTTAAACAGATACATGTACGCATACATAGCCGAGTGAGGTTAAATTATGAATCTGGATGTGTATGCATATACCTCTGCAACACAAGATCATACCCCTCGAATCCTAACGCCCAATGATATAGACCCTAAACCCTAAACCC